GGTGGCATTCTTATCGCGCAAAACACATCAAATATGCAGTACGGGCGAAGTGGGAGCGAAATCGTTTATATTGTTGTAGGGTTTCCGCCGGGTGTGGTGAACGTGGTTCCGGGTTTTGGTGAAACGGCCGGTGCCGCGTTGGCGAGTCACCCTGAGGTGGACGCAGTGACTTTTACGGGCAGTACTGCTGTGGGTCACTCGGTTATGCTTGCTGGTGCCGGTACTTTTAAGCGTGTTAATCTGGAACTGGGCGGCAAGTCACCGCTTATAATCTTTGCCGATGCCGACCGTAGGTTTCTGTTATCTCGTGCCTTTGCGTTGTTGACAGTGTGACATCTTTGCATTTTTGGAGCCAATGTTTTAGTTGATAAGGCTGCATCGGTGGCATTTGAGGGCGTGATGGAAAATGCGGGGCAGTGTTGTGTTGCAGCTACTCGCACTTTTGTGGAGGCGTCCGTATATGAGGAGATGTTGGAACGTTTTAAGCGGCTTGCAGAACAGCGCGTTGTCGGTGATCCGTTCAACTCTGGAGTTGGACAGTGTGTGGTGTCTTACCTTCGTATATCGTTTTGTATTCCTGTTTTTGGTTTTATCCACTACCTCTGTGACCAAATTAAAAATGAAATCCATTGCAATTTTGTTGTTACGCCTACTGATAACTTATAAGCAGGCGATAATTATTTGTAAGTGATGTCAAAAGCTTGTCACCTATTTTTTTTTAACACGTCAGCTCCATTAACGACAGCTGAACTTACATTTTCGGTACGAACGTAAAATTTTCACATTCTTTTAACTTTTTTTGGTTGTGTGTGTTGCAAAGCCGTTGGAGTGGAACATTTAAGTTGCCGATAAGAACAAATTCATTGCTCGGTAAAATTTTTTTGTGCTGATCAATGCCTCTCTTTTGGTAAGAATCGGTAGAAAACTTGCATATTTTATGTAAGGTGTTTGCTAAGGAGTGTAGTAAACTGGGGTGAATAGGGATGAAATCGTTTTACTTATTAACACGATCCTGCTGGCTTAGTGTACCGAAAACATCAAAGGACAGACGTGCTGCTGCTATGAATTAGTAATTTTGGGATAAGCGCTAATCGTTTGAAAATTGTGAGAAGGCGATATTCCAAGCGCTTGGGTTGGACCGAATATTTGGTATTCGAGGTTAATGTAGGCCAAGTGTGCAAATAAATGGGCCAACTTCTACCACCAAACTCTGCAATGATATTTTTTGTGTATGCCTTCATAAGTTGGGAAATATGTATTTTAATAACAAAGTCGAGATTATTGAGCCGTCATTGCTCAAAATTCACAGATGCATATCTGTCAAACACCGATGTGTCAGTAGTTGCTGTCAGTGTGATGATTTACAACGAGGATAAGTTTGACAACAGCTGCGGAGTGATATCACAACACAAATCTGGCAAAAGGCTCTTTTGCTTGCTTCAGCTGAGAGGCCCTTTTTTACTTTGTAGCACAGCCACAGCCGTATCTTTTTTCCTCGGCTTCAGCAACTAGTGATGAGGTATAGAGAACGGAATTCACAGTGTGTGACTTAAAATACTTTAAACGGAATTGTCTCTCCATTCTTGAGTAGTAACGTATTGGCATCATTCAGCACAACTTCTTCCATAATGTCGACGTAGGTATTTACGTTGAGCTGGGGACAGCGCTGCCCTCCTGGCGATTGCAACGAAATCTCTCATAAGTCTAAAGTTGTTAATCTTTTTAGCATGGCTAAAAGCGATGCGGTGGTCTTGTGCATTGAAGGTTAGATGCTCGCACAAATTTGAGAAATCTCATACTGGTAGACAAAATTGTTTTGACATTGACAAGATAATCAGGATGATTGAGGAGGTGCTTTAACAAAATTCAACTGTCTGGCGTTCGGACGCATCAGACTTCTTCTTACAAGATGGAAGTGACTAAGGGCACACCAACTGCTGCTAGAAAAACAACAAAAAAAGGTATCCGACAGAGACTGGAGCCTTATCTAAATCTCTGTCTCGGTTGTTGATTTCTTTTGGGAAAAAAATTGTACACAATTTGCTTTGCATCAAGCGTCTTTTTGTAGGCAAAAATAGGAGTCCCAGAAAATTCATCGCATGGCCTGCTTTTTGTGCACTAAAATTCAGACAGTTGCGAGCAAATGCATCTGTCAGCGACACAAGGCCCTGGCCACCACATCCATAAGACAATGGGGCAGGGAAATGGGAAATGTGTAAGGCATGCAGAAAGGCATTTCAAAGAATTCTAACCCCCTCAGGGGGCATTAACCACTCCTTGTCGTAAGTACAAGGCAATTGTTGATGCTAACAAAGGCCTCCAAAGACTCCAAAATGGCAGCGATCAATTTCACTTTTCAAAAACTCACGTTAATCCGATAGTATCGTATGGTGAGATCGACTTTCAGTCCTTAGGCTTGACATTTAGAGCGTGAATCAAGTTTTAATCGCATCAAAACCATAAAATTTTACAGTCGCACTCATTTTCTAGGCATATCGGAGGCTTTATCAAAAATGCCGACTTTTTTCCATTCTAGAATTTTCTAAAGCCCAGTTCCAACTTGAATAGTTTCCACTGTTTCAGCCCTCAATGCTGAGACAAAGTACCCAAACTTGTGCTTGTGTAGCTATGATCTTATATGATTGCATTTTGGCGGTGAGTGAGAAGGAGTTTTTGAAAATTGGATTCTCCCTTTTCTGCTTTCCACACCTCCTCCCCCTCCTCCTTCTTAAAATGACGCCATTTTACAGGCCATTTTCACACCTGGTGACTAAAAAAATGAGGCACTGTGTCTGCATTCTGGAATGACGGAAGTATCAAGCATGTGTTCGGAGATGTCAACGAGGCATTCGGTCTGAGGCATTGTTCTTAACGCCTCTTTGTTCATTCAAAGCAATCTAGGCTTCTTTTGAGATGAAAAGTGGCAAGAAGATTTGGCTTAAGTTGAGCGATTGAGAGAAGCCTCCTAGTATGGTTGATTTGTTATCTTAAGTGAAATGCAACAATTCTATTGCACCACTTGAGACCAAAAACCACCTCATTCTGTAATTCATAATTCCAGGCAAAATTTGGAACAAACAGCCACATTGGCTGATGATGCAATGGAGCTAAGGGTGGGAATGAGCAAACAACATCTAAATTTGGTTGTAGGAACGTTCTCTTTTACCCCTTTCTCTCCCTCGATTGAGATTGATGTCAGTGGAACATTCTCAAATTATTTATTGCCTTGGCCTGACACCTGCCAAGTAGACAAATAAATATATTCTTTCCACAATGCCATATTATTTGCAGACAAAGCGGTGATATGACTCACTACGGTGAAATGGCAGACAGGCCGGTGTTCCAGACACCAACCGCACACATTTCGCCTTTAATAAAAACAAAATTTATTCGCGTCTGCAATTGCTGTTGTACATGACTGCAATGCATGGAGTGGTTGTGCAAAGTGAAGACAGCAATCACAGAGAGGACACCAGTTTTATGGTCCCGGTGGAGCTGTAAACGTTCACATGATGATGACGTGGAGTTGGCTCATTCCCTAGAAGTGTACATTTCTGCAACAACTGCCTTTATAACTGACCCATATAAATAAAAATTTTTCCGTGTTCTTTAGGACATAGAGAGCGGGCCTTTATCATACCCAGGAGAGGGGGCACACATTTAGGCCATAGGAAAGGGGATGGGACTTTTGGCATGGCCTGGAGGTTGGGCCACCTCCAAACAAACAAAGCAGTACAGAGTCCCTCACCTCCACGGCCTCAAAGTATCAAAAGAATAACTTGCGTCCAAAGGTGAAGACTGCTTCCAATGGCAAGTCAAGCGTATCGTGGCACCTCGAGACTGTCTCAAAGAAAAGAGAAGGCGAAACCCTCGGTCAGAGTCTTTGTTACTGAATGGATTCGAATGGAATGGCTCAGAGGTCTGCCTGCTTGTAGGACAAAGAAGGCAATGGGGCATTCAAGAGGTCTCTCTTACTGACACTAAGATTTAAATATACGGGAACTAGAGCGGAGACGCTACATTTTGGTTCCTACAGATGAGATGGTTGATTGATGCCCTCCAAAGTGTACCCACCCAATGGATCTGCAAACAAAATTGACTACATTCAAAAAATTCCATGCGCTATTAGCTTTATTTTGATGTAATTTTTATACATTTTAACAAATCCTCATCTTCACCGAATTTTGTTTTTTTTTTTTTTTGCTTCCACTTCCTCTCCTAGGTCACATAACCCTCACGTGGCTGGATTTGACAAGGAAATCTCAACAGTCTTCTCGAAGCAAATCCTTAAAACTGCCTTTGCGTGACGCCAAACCTCCATTAGTTACAATTAAGCTTTGTTTTTCTCATTCAACGAGTGCCTTAGTTGCAAGCATTTAAATGTGTTGACGGCGTTTGAAACAAACACATTGGGAGTCATGGAGCGCAGCCAGCATGGCAGCATTTCCCTCGATGGGCAAATTAACGAGTTTAATTTGGATGCTGCTGCTGCTACTGCTGCTGGTGGTGGTGATGATGGTAAAAGTCTCTCGCCTGAGGGGAAATGCTAATTGGGAATGGAAAGCGGCGAATTGGGTGATCAAATCAGTGATTCTTTTGGAAACAAAATCCATTAGTCGTAGCGACTAATGGAGGGGGATATTGCTGGGAAGGAAGGAAGGAAGGAAGGAAACACGCAAATGCAAGGAAAACCACCTCACCGAATTGGGTGAGAAGGCCACTTTGTGGACCAGATGCCACTTCAGCAAATTTGTTATCCATATGCATGAACAATAGGATTGCCACGATTGGAGGAAACTTGTCCTGTGATAGGGAAGGCGTCAAGCAGTTCGGAGAAGCATTCATCTTGAAGTTTGGCCATCATTCAGGCACCAAATGAGTCGAACAACATGATGCTGACGTAATACTTTCGTATAGTTCCAAGATTTGACTTTTTGAAATCGATAAATTCCTTCAGCTATGATTGGCTAAAGATTTGAATTTTTATCGGTACTCCTACGGTTCAAGTCATCTTTTGCAAAACCAAAAGTTTGATAAAGAAGGAAGTGTGGGTCACCCTTGAGTTTGGCCATTGGTTAAGAACACGCTTCGCCAAGTGGGGAGAGCAAGGGTCAACCTCAACGCCACCGATCCCGATCGACCAGACGACTTACATTTTGTCATCTACACTCTCTTCAGCATCATCGACCTCCTACTTTCGTCTGGAAAGTCACACGGGTCGGCTGTTGCTGGCTGAAATACTGGACCGCGAGACCAATGCGGAGTACCAGCTGACAGTGCGCGCAACAGATAGGGGCAGTCCAAAGTCACAGTTCTGTGACCTTGCCTTACGCATTCATGTCCTCGATGTCAACGACAATCCGCCGGTATTCGGTAGTCCATCGGGATATCGTTTTGTCATTGAGGGTGTTGTGTGGGCATCAAAAAGTATGCTTCCAAAATCCTCTTATTATTGTCCATAAAATCAAAACTCTCGGTCAATGCGAGGTCAAATTGATGATCCAACTTTAATTTGGTCTGCCTAATCACAAAGATCATCTCTAACAGAAAACGAGACCATACTGTAGGCAACTCAGACCTACTTTACTGCTTATATAGGTCACAACTCTCCAGATACTGAATTATTTGATAAACAAACACTTAGTAAGTGAGTGGTGAGTGAGTGTCGGGTGGGAATTTGTCCCAAATCCAACTGCCATGACACACGCAAAGGCGTAATGTGGGGAGAGGTGAGAAAACGAGGTCTATTTGTTGCAATTCACTCCAGCATCGTTACATCTGGCGCAAGGTGAATGGAAGGAGGAGGAGGAGGAGGAGGAGGAGGAGGAGATGAGTGGCTAGGTGTTAATTCCGAGGTTTTATGGTTAGCCACGCCAGTGTTCCCCGTCCCCTTAATGTACCAATTTTACACACACACACACACACACATAAGGCGGAACAATTCACTCTCACTTCCATCCACTTGTAATAATAATGTCCGGTGCATCAAAATCGGGAACATAATAACATGGACACCTGTGGCTCATATACTTCTCATTTATATTGTGTATAATTAAAAAAATTTTGTTCTACGTGTCTCAAAAGTTCGGTCAACCGTTTTAATTTAGGATGAAATAATTTCACGCGTGAGCAATTTGGGAGGATATTAAGCGATTGCCCTTGGGATGGACAGTCAAGGCAGATGGGCAGATCAGTCTATTACGGGTGGTCTTCTAATACCTAGGTGGCCTTTTGACAAAAATTTTTTTACAAAGCGTAAGAGGAAGGTAGTGAAAAGAGTTGTTTGTAACGCCGCTTCCATGGGTGGATCTTATACGGGTTTATTTTGCAAACCACCTCGAAGTTGTTATTATTATTATTGTGGAGGACTCAGGATGATTAATTTGGGTGCTTCCTCCCTTTAATTTAGCGTATTCTTAAATAACCAGCCCCTTAGGGAGATCAAAGTCCTTCCTACGGCCGGACGGTAGGAAGAAACCTGTGGGAAAAATAAGTGTCCACCCGTAAAATCAATCTTGTAAAATGAAAATTGCACTTCTTTAAGATCTTTAAGGGCTTGCCTTACACCTCTCTATTACATTTTCAACATTGAACCATTTTATTATCATTTCGTTGCTAAATTGACATGGTGAGCTTTTGGTTACGATTTTATGGCAAATTTTGGGGAAGGGAGGGAGGAAGGCAAGTTTTGAAGTTACCCACTTTATGGCTTGGCGGTTACCAAGGCCTCTCATCTCGAGGAATGCCAAGTGGGGTCTTAAAATTTGACTTTTTCAAACAATTGTTCAGTGTTTTAACTTTTGCAGCGGTGCCTACAAGCAGTTTGTAAAATCAGTACGAGAGTGTTGGAAGTGGAGTCACTGGTGCATGCTTGGACTGTTGTACTGCTTTATTTGTGGTACCCCATGACTGCTGACGAGGCGAGAAAAGACACAGAGAAGAAATTGGGGGCCACTGGCATGATTTAGGAATTGTCTAATTGCACCAAAATAAAAAAAAATATAATGAACCAACCAACAATAAAATGTTACCTCGCAAAATTCGTTTTCGGTGTGCCTCCCTTGCAACCCTCCAGCTGCAGTATTCACCACGTCGTCGACATCCACAAGAAGGCCGTGGCAATGGCAGCTTTCCGCGCATCCACGATGACGCTTGACTCTCAACTAAGCAATTCCATTTAATGGAGAATTTTGTCCACTGGATGAGAAAATGGGAAGACACTAAAACCGCAGTAGGCAACAGACCTTTTAAAGGTTTTAAACTAAATTATTGAAGTGTGTTTGGTTTAAATGAAATGAAACTGCTCAGTTTAGTGGATTCGCGTAATTAGTTTGCATTCATTCATTGCATTTGGAGAGGCATTTTGCGACCTACCGTAGAGGCAACTCCTTTTTTACCGCCTCAAACATGTTCAACTCACTCGACCATGACTGTCGCCCTGGTGGGATTTGGGAAGGAACCTAGCCTCCTCGCAGTTACCGCCATTAACACTGTAAAGAGGCGATTCTACCGTTGTCATTGCGTGGGAACTTTAGCCTTTTGCATAGCATTCTATGCCTCACTTTGTAGCTACTTTCAATGTAAAAACACAGAGATGCAATTATTTTAGTGTCATGAGTCCTCACATAGCATGCAGATTTGGTAAGTAAAGCGAGAGTCGGACAGCTTCCCCTTTTAGTGGGCAGCTACCGTGAGAAGGCAGATCAGGTGAGTCGATTCCTCATCTCACCTGGCCTCTTTGAGTTGACTGGGGATAAAGGACTCAGGGATTGAGGATACACTGAAAATGGTTACAACTGAGTCAAGTGGAGGGACGAAAGAGGGAGAGACGTTCCATTGTTAAGAATGCAGAGGAACGTCTGCCAGAAAGGTTAATTGACGATAGTAGCAAAGCTCTGTTCCCTCACTTTTTCACAATTTTATCATAATTCTCTTTCTAGAGTGATTAAATCAGACAATTTAGTTTAACAAAACATTTATCAAATGAGTTTTCAAACAAAAAAAATTTATCCCCTCTTTGTCAAAGCAAATGTTATTCGTATTTTGTAACATCAGATAACTCGTCTTTCTCTGGCAAACAAATTCGTAAGCCTGTAAGTGAAACGCGTGACTCAAACATTTCATTAGTAGTGGATAATATTGCTTGGTAATAAAAAGGCATTACAATGCAGTGGATAAGTCGGGATCCCCTCACCGCTCCCTTACACTACGACTTTGGATGCACACTGATGTAGATAGTATTAAATAAAGCACTAAGTATGATACAGCAGAAGAAGGGAGGTTCGCAGTGTAAATGGGTCCGCATGTGTGGCGTGGAGGGTTCAAACAAAGGAGGAGCTGACAATGCCCTTCTTTCCGAGATCCTTGCGCCAGGCAGTGGATGATGGTTTTGCAACCGCAGAGGTGCCAACAAGCTCAAAGGCGCTTGGTGGAGTCTCACTGGCTGCAAATGCTTCGCCTCCTGCCTCCAGTGACTCGCTCGGTCTTGTGACTATCGAGGTGGGTGGATGTTGTTGGGAGCCTGATGAGGTTGTGGTAACATTGAAAAGCGTTTGATATCCAGCGTTGCGAGCAACGGTGGCGGAACGAGTGTTGGTCAGAAAGACTGCAGAGTCTGGATCTGCACCACCGTCATCTTCAACACAGTCTTCGTGAAAGTATTGTCCACCTTGCATGTAGGCTCCAGGCTGTAGGATTAAGCCTGTGCCTCCACCACTTGCGCTTAGTTTGTTGTAGTCTACAAACAAAGAAAACTCATTTGACGGTATAAATGTATTCAACTAACACAATTTTTTATAGAATCGAGTTTCACAAAATACATGAAGTTCCACAGATGGGACGATTTTGAGCCGACAAACACGAATTACGTCCTTATCTGATCAAACATGCATCGGATTCCCCTTTGATTTTATTTAAAACTCAAATCAAGGTCGAGAAGAGCAAGCAAAGATAAAATTTAAATTTTGAAAGGTGAAGTTGTTGTAAGTGGGTAGTGAAGTCAGTGTAACAATAGGCGTGCGTAATCAAGGGACTACTTTTTTTGGCATATACAGACAAAGTAAAGTAACCGCAAGTAGTGTTTTTTTTTCAAACTTGGAGTTGATTCTTTGACCAGGTGAGACATTAAGGCAAGCAGGCATTTTCGGTTTTTCTCTCATAAATTAATCACAACTGAGCAATAAGTCACTCCGTTCACTGGAGCACTCATGCATGTTGACGTCGTGAAGAAGATTCCTTTGGAAGAGTCATTTATGCGTGCAAATCAACAAAGGCTTTAAATTTGTGTGTGATGAAGGATACCAATTTAAAACAGACGGAAAAGACAAAAGAAGGAAGATTCGTTTTTCCAGGTTTAAGTAGGAGTTTCGGATAATTAAAGTTCTCAAGATAAGTGGAAGTACTTACAACCGTTCCCATCACCGGGAGCCTCATAATTGTTGAGACCCCTGTCAGCACGCTGTTCCCAAACATCGTCAACTCGGTTAACCTGTCCTTGGCTGAGGTAAATGTTCGCCCTATCGGCAATGGGGATGGGAGGCCTCTCGTACTCCTCCAGACTGTCTCCCAATGAACTTGACCGATTTTTTGCCTGACAAAAGGATTAGGAAATGAAAAGCATCAGTTCTATCTTGCCATTCTGGGAGAAAAGAATGGTTAAGCCTTACTTGCAAAGTTACCTCGCCTCTGCACGGTCGAACCTGTATTATGTTGTCAAAGTTTGCGGCTGCAGACGCTACACCTGCGGTAGTGCCGTTTACATAGCCAAGTCGGAGGAGTTGTTCTTGGTGTTGTTGGTGTTCTTGCAGTAGTCTTTGCTGTTGCTGTTGTTGTAGGAGAGCGGCATTTGAGCCACGAGCACCTCCAACCACCGGCGACCTCTGAGCTGACCAGCCATACACGTATCTATTCATATCCTTTCCTGGCACGCTAGTCTGTGGTTGTAAGGTAGCTGCTCTGTACTTTGCCTCCTTCGTATGAACAAAATTTACAGGATTAGAAGACGCCGTGGTTTCTGTGGGTGCACGATGGCGGAAACGAATGAGAATAGCCCCGAATACTACCAGAAGTAAGCATCCGAGAAATGCTAGACAGCAAATGAGTATCAGACGACGATCGAAGGCTGGGGAAGTGTCTTGACGTGAATAGACTTCCACGCCTGCATCCTGACCGTAGAGGGGATATGCGGCTTCATCCCTGTGGCTCCATGACTTTGAATACGGCGGACTGTTCACGTACTCTACACCTGCATTAAGCGGCCCAGAATTTCTCTGAGGATTCCTCGTGTCAATTACAACGGTAATAGAGGTGATGGAAGAACGTGAAGGAACCCCATTATCCTTTGCCTGTAGGAGAAAGGGAATAAATAATTAGCCACAATTTCTTAACCTGCTTTAAAGAAAGCAGTAACTCACCTCGATTTCTAAATAATGACTGCCAATGTCGTCATCAAGTACCTCACGAGCAAAAGAAAGTTCTCCGGAACTGGGATTCAGAGAGAAGAGACCTTGTGAGGTGGAGTTTTTCATGAGGAAGAGGAGACCTTGTTCTCCGCCCGCGTCTGCATCAAACACCGTCAGTTTGACAATCGCAGTTCCCTGTATTCAATTACATTGAAGGTGATAAAAAAATGGAAGTAAGAATTGCAAGGATGTATCTTGCTAACTACCATCATCCCTCCAACCTAATCAACAACAGCCGCTTTGCCTAGGTACTACCATCTAGGTAAAATCTAACATTCACGTGATGATGTATGGTGGTGTCGTGACTTACTTTTCACCCACTACGGTGATAAATTTGGCTTCCGTGGAACAGAAGGCAAAAAAAAGAGAGGACGGAACTATGAAATTGCAGTGAACTCCCGTGAATAACATGCAAGAGAGGTGAATCAGTTAGATGTTGTTTATTTCCTTCTTTCTTCATTCCCTCCTCATTCGCTTACCTCCCACCTAATGCACACCTCGGATGATGTTTGACGGGTCAACATTTGGCCTAAGTAGATGTTACTTTCAAGAATTAATAAAATTTAAACCTTTAAAAAGGAAGGCAACTTCAAACGACACCAAATAGCTTAAATAGAGGAATTAAAATTCCGATCAGTGCTAGTTTTAGAGGTTGGCTGAAATTGTAGTGGGCTCAGCAATGGCGAGTGGGTGGAGGAGGTCGTAAAAAGCATGATAGATTTATAGACCTAAATGGACAACTTGAAGAGCTATGAGAATAAAAGGAGGTGAAGTGTTTTCCCCTCCAAGCAGCGTCTCCTCCCAACAGCTGATTTGACAAAATCGGTATTTGTTTGTTTTCCACAGATGCTAGCATGGATATTTCCATTGTCCCCGCGTGTGCATGTGTGTGTGTGTGAATAGGCGAATGCAGTGTCAATCGGTGACGTATTCAAAATGCCTTTTGCTCGCCTCGGGTAATCGCGGTGCCTGATCGAAATGGCCATTGCTGGAAAGTGCGCAATAAGCCATGTGCGCAAATGCGTTGTCATTTTTGCCCACCCTCTCGTCCACCTCCATTTCGACCATTTGGCCTAACTGGTGAGGAGGAAGTATCTCCAACTGTACTGCATCCCATATTCTTTTTAAAAAAATAATAAACGCAAAACGTTTTCTCGAAAAACTAAAGTCGCGGTCTGTGGCTCGAGACCTTTGATTTGCTGCCAGAATGCCTTCTTTCTCTTAATGCCTGTCAACAAAGTCATCTCAGCTGCAATCAGCCAGTGTTGTAGACGCTTGAATTGAAAAGGGAATGAAAGACTGATGCTAAGCATGCATGAACTTCCCTGCACTACCATAGTGCGAACAAAGAAACAAACCAAATCTTCCATGAAAACGATTAAATTTTTTCTTACTACTGACAAAATGCATCCACCGAAGTTTAAAATGGAATGCGCGTTTTACAAAAGATAATAACTACGAGAGACGAGGCTGGGAAATATGCACAGCCTTTACATCCATTAACAAAACCTTTAATCCATCTTCTAAATAAAGTCTAAAATGGGCCAAAATTTAGGCATTCTCCTTGTCAACATTTCGACTCGACGGCGGCAATGTGTAAAATGGCCTGTCAACACGAGTGTGCGCGTCGGGTCATTAAGCTTTCATGTCTGCCTGCTTGGCCCAGCTACATGGCCGTGGGTGTGTGTATGTGGAGTCCGGGGGAGGAGTGAGAGGGGGGCATAAAAAGGGTGTTCAAATGTCATCCTCACTGAACATTAGTCACTACAGTGTTTCCTCCTCCCCCTTTCCCCCTCTCCTCCCTTCATTCATGCCTCTTTATGCCATCTATACAGTTGTTGTTGAATCAGTGATTTCAATTTGGCTGTGCATTTGCGCCAACTCGACAGCTAATATTGCTACACCATTAGTGCTTGAAATTAAAACAAAGCCAACTTTGATATAAATAAACAATAATGGACAGAAGTCATATTTTTATCCGTTCCCTTGCATTACACAATGTTGAAGGTTTGTTTGACGTAGTCCCTGGGTGCTCCGCCGGCGGGTGGGCTTACCGCCGCGCCAGTAACTGCAGACCCCAACGTGTGCCTGCCTGGGCATTATTATCTCCGCTTGCCGCCATGGAAGTTGCAGGGCGCTTCATGTCTCTCATTTGATCTTTTTGCACCCAAATACATAAAGACGTATTTTATGGTACCTTAGGGATACACTTTACGTGAATAAACTGCTCTTCCCTTTCCTTCTCCCAACATTTTCCTAAAAATTGTCATCATATGAATTTTAGTCTCAACCAAACTTTGCCTCTTTTTTCATTGAATCATCTGTTTTCTGTTCACTGCTCCTAGATGGTCAACATCATAAAATAGATTTTAACATGCTCACTAAATGCAAAATCGCGGCAATATTTTTTGCAGGAAAATGCTTCAATTTTGGTGAGGAAATTGAAATTAAGCATAGGATGGAAACTACTTCAGCTCTCCTTCATCGATTTCAAACTTATTTGCCTTAATAATCACATACGTAGAGAAGCTTGTTATGCTGCAAAAAGGCATCGTTTTGCTTTTCACTGACCTGCAGAGGTCAGAATTTAGAAACCTAGTTAGTGGGCTATTGCAATGTCCAATTCCATTTCTTCAGCCTCACCTTGATTCTGTGTAGGGATCGACTGCGTTCCCTCTCGCAATGACCATATTTTTGAGCCAGACAACCATTTAACGGCAGGTCGTGTTTTTAATTAACTGGCTCGACTAGTCTGTAACATAAAAACGGTAATTAAGGGTGCTGACACACCTTTGCGCCTACGAGAGTCTGGATTGCTTCCACCGACTTTTAACTGTTCGACAGAAGTTGATTCGTCTAAGGGTGATGAGATGAACAAATGTGGTCAAACAGTTGCCCCTATGGTTTGCTTCACGAAATTGGTCGTGGCTGATGCATTGGATGAAATTGGGGAGTTCTGGAAGTCTTCCTTACCCACCACAAGGGGGCCAGTTTTATCGACACGTCAATGCTTTCGGTCTGTGGGAAGATTTGTGGCTGATGTGGGAGGCATTCCATCACCGGAAAGATACAAACAGATTCTTTTCCTAAGGGGATTCTGCCAAATGACTAATCATCCTCCTGTCTACACGCCACCACTTCTGACATTTTACATTAAGGATTGTGCAAAAAAAATTGTCTGAAATGTGTTACCCCGACGTTGGCCCCCGCAGGTGGTGGATGCGTAAGCAAAGGATACAATTCTGATTAAGAAAAAAAAGGAAATTTGACCCCAGTAGCTGTTTAGAGCTCCCAGATTGCTATGAGACCTTATACGGTTAGGGAAGCTCCAAGGTATTTGTCATGACCGCCTCACACTAACTTGCAAGTCTAGGAAAGACACAAGAATTGAAGCATTTCATTCAAAAACGACAATGTTTAGTGACTAAAAGCAGACCATTTCCTTAAATAAGGGCAATCGGAGTGTTGAAGAGGTAGAGGAGCGCTAAACTACTTGACTGAAGTGAGTCTTCGGATTGAGAGGAAAACAAATTAACTAGGCCAAAAGTGTGCCAGCTTTTTTGGACAGATTGGCATAAATCTTGGCATCACTGTAACGTGAATTTACGACTAAGGAAAAACTAAAAATAAAAAATTAGCCAGATGATGGCGTGGTAGTCAGAATTTGGCATGACAGTTTGACGCATCTCCATAACTCCATCTCGATAGTCAGGAGGGCAAAAGGAGTCACTCACTCATGCAGGGTGGAGCAGCAGTTGATGCGACAACACGACAACTGCATCGACAACTACGAAGGCAGAAGAGCTGTCAAAGCGTGAAAAGGGAAGTTGTCATCTACTGCAAATTTGATAAAATTTGTGTGTACGAGGATACACACCCAATGACAGGCCATTTTGTATGAGAGACCGGTAAAGAGATGAAAGCTTGTCTATCCACTGTGTGACATTTCTTTCGTCAAATTCATTGCATTTGATGTGAATGTTTTGCTTTTCTTCTTCGTGCTTGACATTTCATTCACCAGTGTTGACAATCACTGATTTTATCGAAAACTCATTCCTCCCTCCTTTGCAAGGCTTCTAAAAAGGGGAGAAGCTGGCTTGGCTGGGACTACCTGCGTTTGTCGTGCATTAATTTTGAGTTAACACTGAGTAAGACAACGACTCCACAACAATTTGTTTATGGCCAGAACAGACGTTTGGGAAATCAGCCAAGTGAGTTCGTCAACAAACATTTTTTTGTGTCCACAACAGAGGGTTGTGATAAAATCTTCATCTAAACAACTGGGTGAGGAGAGTGTAAAAACAGTCAGGCAATGGACAAACCTCGTCGAGTGTTGACGAGGAATGTGGAGCTTGGACGTACCACTTTGCTATACGCCGATGCGTGGATGGTGTGATTGGGTTGAGTGGGATAGATGAATTTGGGATCGTTGTCATTGATGTCGAGCAATTCGACAATGACCTTTGCTGTAGCAGTAAGTCGTTTGGAGGAGCTCGAATCTTCTGCGGTGACGAAGAACTCGTAAACAGCGTTGACTTCTCGATCAAGGCTCATTTTAGTCGTGATCTCTCCGGTCGTAGGATTAACTGCGAATCCACGCTGAACTGCTGCCTACATAACAAATATCCTTCGATAATAAATCTTCAAAATTATCTCTAACACCAATCAACATTGTAATTCTACCAGTAGTAGAAACATTTTGAAATGCATTTTCATCTAATATCCCTTAGTGCAGCATTTGCCTTCTCTAACTGCTCACCGCAGTACCGAAAAGACGGTAGGATATCTTCCCATTCTTGCCCTCATCAATGTCCGTCGCCGACACAACACCCACCACTGAACCTGCTTCCCTCTCCTCCTCAATGACAAAACGATATCCCGATGGACTACCGAATACCGGCGGATTGTCGTTGACATCGAGGACATGAATGCGTAAGGCAAGGTCACAGAACTGTGACTTTGGACTGCCCCTATCTGTTGCGCGCACTGTCAGCTGGTACTCCGCATTGGTCTCGCGGTCCAGTGGTTCAGCCAGCAACAGCCGACCCGTATGACCTTCCAGACGGAAGTGGGAGGAGTTAGTGGGGCTCATGGGATGAGTGATGGAGAGTGCGATGATGCTGACGAGAGTGTAGGTGACGGGATGTGAGTCGTCTGGTCGATCGGGATCGGTGGCGTTGAGGTTGACCACTACACTTCCCACTTGGGCGTCTTCTGCAATTGTGACGGTGAGTGGATTGACGGGAAATTGTGGTGGATTATCGTTAACGTCCAAAACGGTGACAGCGAAGGTGGTCTGAACGAATAAACATTTGAACATTAAGAGTAGGCAGACCTCCTGTGTGTGGTCCGAGACTACAAGTCTCATGAGTAAGCTGTCATCACATGCTTCTACCAGATGAAAAATGGCACTTTGGAGATGCTGTTGTAGGTATGATCGGCTTGGCAAGAATGTCTTTGATGCGTCTGACATTAAGTTAAGTAAATTTACTGGACTGTACTGCTATGTGACCTCTGTGTGCCTTGAATCTCTCCCTTTTGCCTCATCGAGTCGGACAGGGAGGTTGTTGAATCGAAATGGAAGAGGCGAGTCCTCTCTTCGCATCCTCACGGTTGTGTGATATTTTTCTTTATCCTTCCATGATGGCAGGTGTCTGAATTAAAAGCATGAAATTCTATACGCCTGACGAGTAATAGAAATAAAATTTTGAGAATTTTCTATCAACACTATAAAAAACAAACATAGTTAGGAGAGCTTTGCTCAATTTGCATTTAATTTTATTTTTATTTTGCCTAAGTCTCAAGAACTTCAGTGCACGAAGCAGTAGGTGTTGACAAAAACCTTCAACACCTGCTGTCATGGCACACCAACTGGCCATACACTTTCAAATACCGTCTATTTTGTTAGCAGGGGGGTGCATATGACTTTGGTGACATTTAAATCTAAAAATAATTTCGCGCCTGATACTATTTGGTGTACCGAGTGAATGAAATGAACTGTAAACAACTGACGACGTATGGGTCGCTCAGGAAAGGACACCATGTAGCCGGTCATTCGCGTTTTACGCTCTCCCAAACCAAATCGTATTGGGTGCTGCATTTCAATTTACTGCGAGGCATTGTTTGCCGCTGCTGCGTGCTTACTGAGCTCCCAGAAATTTCGGACTTCTCACACTGCTCGCGTCTGATGATTACACGTTGTCTAAGTGATTGTTCGTTTACCTCTCGGTTTTGGTTGTTGAGAGGCTGTACTAATGAACCGCCTTCTCGTTGCCGGTCCATATTCCGTCTTCAGGACGAATCCTTTCTCCTGAATTGATGATTTTCCATGTGAGATACTCCTGCTACTTTAAGGAGCAGTGGGACTTGAGGCTTCTGCCATGATCCGCTGTCCACCCCACCAGGAGGAGTGCCCACCAATCAAATTGAATGATCCTGGTCCAAAGTTTGTCCTAATCCCATCTGGCCCATTTCGTCATCGCCTGTTTTTAATGCATTTGGTTTTATTTAACAAAGCAATATTTAGGCTTCTTGGTTATACTATGAATTTTGTAATTTTCTTTACTGTCAGCTTGTTCATTGACTGGCTCCTTGTGTCCCACGTCTGATGGCACTTTGGCCACGACACTTCGCACCGTCGACTGCATAACACTCCAAGTTGGGGGCTACTGAATGCTACCGCAAAAGCACCACTGAGCCACTTGCACTGGTTGGTAAGTCAATCACAACGTCGTCCTGAAATCGTGCGTCATTGTTCGCATATGCGATCCTTTGTCGGTTTTAGCTAGGAATCGTGTACTCCTATCTGGGTGTTGTCTCCGAAAAAGGCCTTCGTCCACTGCCTTTTATAATTTGTCTTGCGGTGATTATATCAAGCATTTAATTTGCTCCAGGACGCCAGGACGCAGTCATCACTGCCGAAAGGTCAAGTCATCACAACAAGAGGTGTTTCCTGTATTTACAGCAGGAACCTGATAAAGGCCTAAGCGTTGCTGAGGGACGCCATAATTTAACTCTCTGGTCATCAAATTCACCTTCCATCCTCTACAGCCATTTTCATACTTCTGAATAGTCCATTTGACCTTAAATTATTAGCAGTCGTAAGTCAACAGTATCTGCCTGCCATGCAGCTCTGCTCCATGAAGCAAGAGGTATCGTCAAGAGAATCAGCAGCTCTCAGCAACATTTTCACTCCACTTTCATCCCTAACAAAATTTTGGATTGCTCGTAAGTGGCAATGACGCTTAATTTTAGCAGCACGTCTCATTCTTCAAACCTTGCATAGGAATTCGAATAGTTTTGCCTTTTTTGCTAGTCGATGGCGATGTGTTTTATTTTAACTCCACTTTTGTGCTTAAGACCTGTGCGCCTTGACCGAATCTTTTCCCAAAAGGGTAGTAAATTTAGTCAAGCATGCTTCAGCTGGGCAAGGACACTGACGTGGGTTTTATCTGCGTCAGGTTTATCCCAAAAATACTGTCGCGTCGATTGTCTCACAGCTCACTAAATTACAAGGTCCGCATTAGAGGATCTTCTATGTCTCCGAGTTCGCCGTTTGCACATCGAAATCGTGAATAAAATTTTGATAATCGAAAGCACGGATATTTGTAAATTACATTTCTTTTGCCTCATCGCGGTTGTGACGATCGATGGATGGCGTTGGGTGAAGTTAACTACCAAAGTCCCATCCATTCAATGACCCATCTTCGTGGCAATTTCGCACGCTCCAACAAATTGCCAATTTGTCCACACGGGTGATTAAATTGGAAACATTCCCTCGAGAGCGCAAAGGCGCGAACGAGTGATGGCATTGGCGGCGGCGGCGGCGGTGGCGGTGGTGGTGGTGGCGACTGCTGATTTACTGCCTCCAATGTGACAAGTTGGGCGCGTTGCCTGCTTACGTGCGTGCGAAGGCTTGTGTGTGCATGAAGGAGGTTAGAAGGACGGGAGGGGGGCGGGTCTAGGAGTTTGAAGTGGAGAAGGGCTTACGCCTCTCCGTAGTAGCCCTCTAGAGCGCAGGGGAGGATGAGGAGGTGGAGAGGGAGAACGAAACGTGCATTTCGAAAGCAGGTGTTTGGAAGGGCGGTGGCGCAGACGCTTTATGGCGCCGTAGTGTCCTTTTGCCCACCGTCTAATTCCACCTTCTTTAATTACACCGTTAAGTACTGGCGTTTTCATTACCTTAGGTGTATGGGAAAATAGTCGCTGTCAATGCAATCACGTTTTCTTTGGCATCGCCGAACGGCAATCTTAAGAGGAAGGTTTAGTTTTCAGTCAACCACTTTTCTTACCATAGAATGGCTGAACAATGCATTGGTCTGCGCGAGTAATCACCCAAGTTGACTAAACTCTACTTCCGGAAAGGAGAAGTTTAAGCCAGTCTTGTACAAAGATTAATTCCCATTTCCGGTTGGTAAAGTGTACAGTGAAGCAAGAGGAAAGGGCTTCACTTCCTGTGCTTATTTTGAATTTACATTTACCTCATCTGGCAGGAGGGACTGAAGTGAGCCCAACACTGTTGATAAAACAATTCACTCAACAGTAAAGGTGATTTGGGAGGAAGGAGGAGAGAAGTTGTGGAATTTGGGTGAAATCCATCAAATGACAGGCAAAAGCTCAACTAATCCAACGGCATTAAGCGAAAGAACAATTAGAAATGAAACAACTTCCGATGCTACTTCATATGTAGGTGCTCGCCAATGGATTACAATGCTTAAAGAAGAATTCACTAATTGTCAAATGCTGTATATGGAAGGTGGAGGTCTTCCACTTGACTCAATGGATCTACACTTAGCCCTCTTTCTCTAACTCGTTGGCACACAACAACGTGATGCTAACAGGAGTGCTAATTGATGAGACCATCATTGAGAGGTGACGACCTCAATGGTTATGGAGAAGAGTTGTGTGGAGAGTGATTACTCACTGAAGCCTGACAAAGGGATGACTGGAGATGGAATTAGCATCCGGCCTGATGTTGATGTGGTACCATCAACAACACCATGGCATGCATAATTAGATTAACTGATGAACGCGCGAACCACTGCCGATCGTTTGCCTTTCCGACCACCATCTGGAGGACCGACTGAGACCCCAAATCTCAATCAGCTATCACTTTCCTCTACCCATAAATGGAGTGTGAGGAGTAGGCAGTCTGCAAAGGCAAATTCCTACTCCACAACAACTAATGCAAAGGATTTTGGCATTGAGAAGAGAATAAAAACAAGAAGAAGTGGTAATTACACGACTTGCATGCATTTCAGCATTACGAGAGTATAGGGAAAGGGTGACAAATGAAAACGCCTTCTGGAAGCTAACGTCAAACACAAACCGAACTTTAGACCAAGCTATGGGATTCAACAACAATGGGTGAATGAGAAAAAGACTAAGATTTCTATTAATTTGAAATAAAAATGCTTGAAATGATTGATTTAGAATTTCGGTCCCGCCCTTTAAATAAGTAATTTGATGAAGGTGACAACTAACCTGACTCTCCAAAGAGGGTGATCCCTTGTCCTGACACCGTATGGCCACGAAGTGAACTGCAGTCTGCTCTCGGTCAAAGGTAGTGGCTGTGACTAACTGAAATTCAGCTCTTCCAGCGCCGAGAACGGAGCTGTGACCTCCCGTAAAGGTCAAGTCATCGTGCTCTCCCAGTAATCCAGGTGATGGTACCTTGTGTCCCACGAAGGTGTCTGCAGCAATGAGACGGAAAAGAGTACTATTGAGGGTGCAGCAAAATTGGCCATTTGGGCCATTGGCGCCATCGAGATCTTGTACAGTCACAAGAGCCACGAAAGTATCCCTCTCCTCGTTCTCTAATACCTCCAGCTGGGTGGGACTGCGGTTAGCCAAATCCATCACTGTAATTTTTGGTTCCTCATCGTTCACATCCACCAATTCAATTACAATACTTGCAGATGTGGACAGTCGAGTTGGCTTTCCGTCGTCGGAAGCAACAACAACAAGATTGTAAGCTTCGAAGCCTCTATGTGAGGAGGATTTGGATAAACTATCATAGTCGAGACGATCAGCAAGACGAAGTTCACCAGATGTGGGATTGAGCTCAAAGAGACGCTGAACTCTTGGTGGGATGGTTTCCGCCCAAGCAAAAGTCACTCTACCATTCTCTCCACTGTCTGCATCTCTGGCTTCAAAGTTGGCTAAGAGTGTTCCAATTGGAGTGTCCTCACGAATGTGGATTTGTAGACGCCCACTACCCGTAGATGAGGTATCCAAACTACCCTGCACACGGGTACGGACACTCACATTGGGCTGGTTATCATTCTCATCTATCACATCGACTCGAACGAGAATTTCTGCCGAATGGGGCAAGTGCCGATCAACATCAAAGGCAATGAGTGTTATATAGTAGTCTTGTCGTTTTTCATAATCAAGAGGCTCACGCAATTCCAACTTCGGTAGTAATACTCCATCGTCACGACGCGGTAAGATAAGCTCAAAGGGAAAAGTAGAGGTGAAACGATGATCCATCTGTGATCGCATTTGACCCGATGTTTCTTCTAGCTTGTAGCCTTGTACACCAAACGACCCAGCATCCCCATCTTGGGCCAAAGGAAGTGGTAATTGAAAGCCAATGTGGGCGCTCTCTGGAATTGAGACGGTATACAAAAGGCTACCGTCGTAATTTCTCGAGATTTGTGTGCTTGAGAGACCAGTAAACTTGGGCGCATTATCATTCAGATCCATAAGATCAATGTGAATTGAAGCAAATGAGGTGGAAAATCCTGCAGCTTTGGAAGTAAAGGCAACACGAAAGTCTAGATTGCATTTGAGTCCTGTAGAAATCATATGGTTCCCTAGCTTCGACTGCGCTGCCTCCATGCCCACGACCTTGACATCGTGAGTGCTGGGAGTATCGTGCTGATTAACCATTGTACAGCAGAGATCTGCCCTTTGGCAGAGTTGATCGCGGTCGATTAGGCCATTGGTGCGCAGTATTCCTGTGCGCTGGTCAATTGCGAACATTTGGTTGTAGATCGGGTTGGAAGAGAGAATTTTGAATCGATAATTGATATTAGCGGAATCCTCCAATGATGGAAAGTTTAGAAGACTGGGAAGTTCTGCAATTACTGTATTAATAGGAACCTCTTCGGGCATCTGAAAGTGAAACATTTCGCTCTTTGTCAGTGCCAGTAAAATGAGGCGGAGAAGGAGAGGGAGGAGGAGGTTCCACCGCATTTGGACAACTTTGTGACAAAAACAAATGATCTGTGAGTATGCAATCAAATCGCGTAGCTGTCCGCATTGCTAACATGAAGGGGTGTCTTTTGATTGGTCCCTCGGCACACGATGAAAGCCGTCTGCTGATTGGTGTGAGGTAGGCCAATCCAACGTGCCGATTAACACGTGGCCTTGGCCGGTGAGCTAATTGCACCTTGTAATCGACAGTGACATGCAAAATAAGGGGTTTTAATCCACCCGCTGATACTTTGGCGAGATGTTATTCACTGTACACCATAATTGCGGCAAGCCACGCGAATCACTCTTCAGGCGCTCATGCCAACACCGGCAGTTCGATCAAAGCCTTTGATAGCGCGGTCACTCATGCGGCCGTAATTTAGTGGGTATAAAATAAAAATCAACCACACAATATTTAAACTTTACTTAGCTCATTTTTATGGTCAAAACAACCATATTTTCCCTTATTTACCATCAGCCCTAGCTTGTATTAATTGCTCCAACATTTCTTCGCAAAACAGACCTTTAGGTAGAAAAAGTTAGGAATTAAAAAGTGAGATACAAGTTTGGGCAAAGTTTGTCATGGTTTTTGCTAGCGTACCCTCTTCCATCGCCACTGCGTAAGGCTGGATGCCAAACTTTTCTTTTATTTGCGAACCCCAAAACTCGTGAGAAACCATATACTATTTACACAAAAAAGATTGGGACAGCTCTTTGTAAAATCAGATAAATTTTCCTGTACATAAGACGTATCTTAAGTATGTCTATGCAATAAGGATGTTATAAAATCCCATAAACCTTTAATTTTCAAGATTCGACTAACGTATTTTCTTACCCTCTTCCTTTTCCTCACTCTTCTATGGTTTTGAAGGTGGACACCTTAGGCGCATTCATTTTGCATGATGGAAAATGAGTTTGTGTGCACTATAAAGTCCGAATACATCCTACTTATTCGTAATAAGTAGATGAGAAACCCAATCAAGTGCTTGATAGTATGGCTTTTCATCCGCCTTCTCTTAACTTCAAATTGGTTGATTCAGCTATGCGGATAAGAGTTCGTGAATGCTGGTTAGTAGCCTACACCGAAACTCATTCTCTCACGTTAGTAACCTTGGCTACAAAGTTGCCGCAATTAATTGTTACATGGGAAACGCATTCACACGCTCTCATTTTAGCATAGCTGGCTTTACTCCACCTTAGAGGTATAACCAAATAAGCTAACAGTGCTAATCAAGCGTTATCTGGTTTTGATACTTAGGCACATTACCGAAAAATCTGGATTACTTTACGATAGGATAGTACCGATGGGATAATTGAACATTTACCTTTTCAGATTGTAGCTGTATCCCATTAGTTTCACTCTAAGAGTAAGACCAATAACAAATCAGCGACTGTGCCATTTGGTTTCTGGTATGATAATGCAGATTAGTACACTTGAAATGATAGCACTGATCCGGTAAAGCTCATATCCCATGACCATGGAGCTTGCAGTGTGACTGCTGTAGTAAATTGACACTTCCCATTGGTCAAGGCGTGTCTGGCTGTTAAAAGCTATTAGTGCTTCATATCCTGCTACCGATGGCGTTCCAATTACCTCTTCCCAAATGTGAAGTCACGCATTTCTTAGCTCCCAAGGCTTAAGTACATGAATACCGAGAATGACCTATTGAATCTACCATGGTTCATGGGATGGCAGCCATTACGTGCACAACTGTAACAACTTTAGAGTTATTGCATGCCTGGTTGCTTTGACATTGCCTGCTCGCCTTGCATGTGGGCAATACTGGCTGCACTTGGTAAAGGGGAGTGGTAGAGAGGTCGCTGTATGAACACGTCTGGGTGTCCTAACCTTTAATCTACAAAGGGAGGTCACAGTCAGTCGCGAATCGACATTAGCGGGTGTTTTCCTCTGACCTGTGTCCTGCCACTCATATATTACTTACAGTGTGAAAGATAAAGTGATGATGCAGACTCCTTACAGTACAGAGGAGTTAGATGCACTACGAATGAGCTGAGTGTGAAGGTATAAGCGAAGAATGATGGAACGCGGAAGAAAGCCGTTGTGAAATCACAGGTATCGGCGCGGTACCTGCCTTGTCGGTAGGGCACAGTGGAAATGCTTCGGGTGAAAGTGTCTAATGTGGCTCTCGATGGGGCTGAGGGTTGCCTGCCTAGATAGTAGATGAGGGCTGGTTCATTTGGTCACGGGATGGAAGCACGTTGAGATGAGAGGTCAGGTCATTACCAATAGAAGACTTCAGAGACCAAGCGCTGTGCGGTTAGTGGTGATGGTCAGTGTTCTGCAGACCCTGTAAACGAAGTCAATGGGCTGTACATTTATAGTTCTTCTAATTAAAATAATTTCTTCAAAAGGTGGCATGGATAAATTGACAGAGATGCTTGCTCAAGTGGGGTCAGTGTACAGTAAAAATTGTTCAAAACATGAAGGAAGGGAGCAAAGGATTTTCTTTTGGTAAAATGACAACAACGTGCCTACGTCAAGTGGGCTGACCCCTGAGCCACATTTACAGCCTTAATCCTTTCTGATCGAGTAAAGTATCTTTTTTCTGCTCAAAATGGTCTCTACACTCCACATACCAATATTTTAAGCTTTGTAATGCTTTGTTCGTTTGACTGCTTTTTCCGGTTGCCGAATCTTGATTGGCCATGCTGCCTCTGGTAGGTGGCCTGACATTTGGGCAATGCCAACAGCTTCAACCCCCTCCAGTAATCAAATACGCATATTCTGCCCAAACATAAGGTCTTCTTTCGTCTTCAAGGAAGTACTTGGGCACTGCACCGGTGACAATGGAATGCAGACTTTCATCTTTTATGACACTACATGTGAGCTTGTTACAAGGAAATGTTATTGTTGATTTCGATGGTAACAAAAGTTGAACAATAGCGTCTACCTCGGGCACCTGCCACATTCCCATGATCAGCAAAACACCTACTAACAAGGCATACGACACTGGTCAAAGATACCTCAAAAAAGAGAGACTATACGGAATGCTATATCAGGGGAATTGTGTCAACGCTGTCACTGTCTCTAAGGTATCGGTTTTCTGACCAAAAGCCCTAACACCTACATATGGACAAGTATGAAGGTCACCGGAATCCCCTCGTCCTTAAATTTGGTCCACAGACTAAGAGAAACTGCAGATACATTAAAAGTACCAAGGGGGACCATTGGCGATGCATTCACTCACCTCTTTCATTGCACAAAACACTGGTAAATGGCACGGTTGGCATCGACTATGTTGTTGCGATTGCTGACGTGAGCGTTTCACCAAGGCCAACGTCAGAGATGTCGCTCAAATTGAGGAGCAAGACAATGCCATCCTTTTTCGTGTACTCTTCTTGTGCTACTTACTGTCACTGCTGCCTTTACCAGACAGGCTGACCTGTAAGACACGCCAAAATACTCTCATCCATCCCCAACTGTGAAAGGACATTTGTGTCAATACAAACTAAAGCTTGTTCACGCCATTAAAGCGCTATTGCATTGCCATTCCACCATGAAGGGATGAAGTTCTGGCAGGCGATTGCATAGCTAAAAGGATCTCACCTGATAAATTGGCAGCACAATTCCTTTCTCACATCTTAATCATTCTTTAAAATTAATTCCCTGATTTCTCTACTTATTTATACCAGTTTGTGCTTTAATTCTTAGGTAAAAAATTCGACTACCTTCATGCTATTTTCGCTACCTCATGCCTTGCCCATCGGTGCGGTGGATATCGCAAGAGGACCAATTTTTTGGTCGGAGAAACAGCGATTGCTGGAAAACTTAGGGTTTTACATGGTGTCATTAACCATGTGGAATGCAAGATTGGTTTTATCTGATGCGTTCATAGACTTACAAATGCATAAGTGGAGTTTGTCATGGCCCTAAGCCTTGTTCCATCTCATGTCAGGGTTGTGTGTTGCCGATAGAATGCTGTTGGGTTGTCAGTGTTTGGCAAAAGGAAAATTTTTTTGCATTTTAAGTGGTTGAATGTCTTCAAGATGCGGTGAAGAGCAACGTATCGTTTTTTCTTGTCATGTCCAGCAGAGGCGTTTCACTGCGTAAGGCTAATTTGTGGAAGAAGAAAGTTGCAAAACTTTAAACCTTTACTACTAACAAGTACATCTACGAAATAAGGAAACAAAGTAAGGCTGTTTTTTCTGCATGCTGCTTGCTTAGATAATGAGGTGCAGTCTTTTTTATCTTTGGAATGTGTGTTAGAAGTGAATTGTCACCTTCATAAGGCAGGACTAGTCGCATTGCCTTGTGTGTGGTAGTGGACGGGGATTTTGTTTCTGTTCGCATTAACTATTAATAATATTATTACTATTAAATGGCTTTACTCGATACTGGTTGATTGTCTAATTCTGAGTCCCGACGATTAGGTGGTAAAGGGACTACGCCAGAAGCTCTGGAAGAAGAGAAATATTAAAAACATCAAAGTCCCATCTTGATGGACATCTACCATGATATCCACCATTTAGCGTGAAGGAAAAAGATTACTGCTGACTGAGCTATCAGAGACGTCTGTTAAAAGAAAAATTATAAAATGTATTTTTCGCTAAAGAAGTTCCTAGTCCAATGGGCTGTGGAGGAGATAGGATTACAAATTTCTCTGAGTGGCATTGATAATCTCGATAAACGGCCAGGTCACAATTAAGAGCAAAAGTAATTCCTTTGCTTTCTAAATGTAATTGGGAGAAGTCAGAGTGTCTCCGTGACTTCGTCACGAACCGTGTCAACCAAGTAGGTGTCTTTTTAAAGCCAAACGATCCCATCTTTTCCTTTACATATTTCTACCCTTCTTTCTTCTCCATACAGCAAATCCACCTTTGATGACCTCAAACCTCTACACAAGTCACTATTCCCGAACCCAGCCAGCTGCTACTAACAAATCCATCAGTAGCATTTCACCAGTTTAATGCGGCCATATAAATTTAGGCAAATTGGACGACTAAGCATGAGACACTTTGCTTCATTTAAGCAAACTGGT